AACAAATAGAGCATAAAATAAGACAAATAAATAACAACTGAAACAACTAAATGACCAATAGCTAACCCTAGGCAGACTAGAACATCTTCTACCCTACGAACACAGYGGGACCGTAGCTGTGGGGCCCACATCAGTGTTCTCTACCGTCTGGTCTTGTCATACACAAGTATAGCAGCCGAACCACAAGTCTCTGATATCTCCCAATATCCTTTACTGGCTCACCTTCTGATGCATTGATTCTATGGTTTTGATCAATAGGTGTACTGGTTGCCTCGTTCCAAGCTTCTCTGTCTCTTGAAGAAGATCCAAGACATACTTCCTTTCAGAGATAAAAATTTCATGTTTTGATCTTGTAACTTCAATGCCTAAGAAGTATCTCAGTTCTCCAAGATCCTTAATTTCAAATTCTTTATGTAGATTCATTTTTCAGACAATCAATCTCACTTAGGTCATTCCCCGTGACAACAATATTATCCACATAAACAATTAGGACTAACACCAAAGATCCCCTTCGCTTCACAAATAAGGTATGATCGGATTGAGTCTAAGTGTAGCCAAAAGCAATCAAGGCCTTTCTGAATCTGTCAAACCATGCTCTGGGAGATTGTTTCAAGTCATAAAGTAACTTCTTAAGCTTGCATACCTTTTCCTTTTCAGCATCACTGTAGAAGTCAGCAGGAAGATCCATATACAGTTCCTCTTGTAGATTCCCATTTAGGAAAGCATTATTCACATCAAGTTGAAACAAGGGCCAAGAGTATGAGGGAGCAAGAGAAAGAAGTATCCGAACAGAGGTCATCTTTGCAACYGRYGCAAAGGTCTCTAAGTAATCAATGCCATAGGTCTGTGTGTACCCTTTTGCAACAAGTCTTGCCTTGTACYTYTCTATRCTTCCATYTRCCTTATAYTTTACTGTGTAAACCCATCTGCATCCAACTGTCTCCTTGCCCTCCGGTAGATCCACAATGTCCCATGTCTGATTCTTAATCAAAGCTTCCATCTCTTCCTGCATAGCTATCTTCCACTCGGGTTTGGAGAGAGCCTCACTAACACCCTTGGGTATAGACACAGAGTCAAGAGAGGAAAGAAAAGCACGGTAGGAAGGAAAAAGTCCACTGTAGGATAAGTGCTGTGAAATACAATGAGCAGTACACTTTCTCTTCCCTTTTCTGAGAGCAATAGGAAGATCAAGGTTATTTGTAACAGGGTTAGTAGAATCTATGGGAACTGAAACAGTAGCGGGACCAAGAGGAATACCTAAATCCATGTCAGCTGAATCTGGAGTCTCCAAGGAACCAACAGGAAGTGATGTAAGTTTTGCTGTATTGGAATCAACCTCCTTGTGAAGTCTCTGTCGTAAGTAATGCTAAGAAGTAGGATGCAAAGGAGGTGGTAAGGTAGGTGAAACAGGAGGGTCAAGCACAAGAGTAGACACAGGGACTGGAACTGGGAGAGGAATAGATTGCTGACTCACTTCCCCAGAACACTCCCCTGAGAAGGATTCTTTGAGAAGAAGTATGTGGATTCAAAAAAGGTGACATCCATGGTAACATACCGGCTCCCAGAGACTGGATCATAGCAGCAGTGCCCTTTCTGATTTTCTGCATATCCAAGGAAGACACATTTCTTTGCCTTGGGATCAAGCTTCAAGCGGTGAGGACCAAGGATATGTGCAAAGAAGACACACCCAAACACCTTGAGAGGAATATGAAACATCTCCCCCACTGGAACTGTAGATGTGATTATCATGCTTTTTGCAATCTCAACAATGTGTCTGTTCTTCCTTTCTGCAACACCATTCTGCTGTGGACTGTAGGGACAACTGCTCTGATGGACAACACCATATTCTAACAGATATGAGGCAAGGTGTTTTTCAAAATATTCTCTGGCATT